CAGGTCTCAGATATATACAGAGCCTGTCTCTGATTGGCTGAAACACCAAACAGATCATTGCAGCATTACCCATAATCCCCTCTGTTTCAGCCCTGTTTCCTAAGTGCTGATTCTCTGTCTGTTACTTTAGATGAAAATAAGGAGCCCCTCCCCACGCCCCTCTGAGAGACATTTGGTTACAAAGAACTCAATGGAGCTCTAGGAGGAGATTCAGGTGATAAGGGGGGGGGGGGGGGGGGGGTCAATGGATCAGGACAAAAAGAGAGAGAATCTTTGTTCCTGAAACTTTCAGAGTCTCTTTCCACAGAGGGGACACATGTTGATGTAGAAGAGACATGAAGAAGAGGGGACACATGTTGATGTAGAAGAGACATGAAGAAGAGGGGACACATGTTGATGTAGAAGAGACATGAGGAAGAGGGGACACATGTTGATGTAGAAGAGACATGGAGAAGAGGGGACACATGTTGATGTAGAAGAGACATGAAGAAGAGGGGACACATGTTGATGTAGAAGAGACACGAAGAAGAGGGGACACATGTTGATGTAGAAGAGACATGAAGAAGAGGGGACACATGTTGATGTAGAAGAGACATGAAGAAGAGGGGACACATGTTGATGTAGAAGAGACATGAAGAAGAGGGGACACATGTTGATGTAGAAGAGACACGAAGAAGAGGGGACACATGTTGATGTAGAAGAGACACGAAGAAGAGGGGACACATGTTGATGTAGAAGAGACACGAAGAAGAGGGGACACATGTTGATGTAGAAGAGACACAAAGAAGAGGGGACACATGTTGATGTAGAAGAGACACGAAGAAGAGGGGACACATGTTGATGTAGAAGAGACATGAAGAAGAGGGGACACATGTTGATGTAGAAGAGACATGAAGAAGAGGGGACACATGTTGATGTAGAAGAGACATGAAGAAGAGGGGACACATGTGATGTAGAAGAGACACGAAGAAGAGGGGACACATGTTGATGTAGAAGAGACACGAAGAAGAGGGGACACATGTTGATGTAGAAGAGACACGAAGAAGAGGGGACACATGTTGATGTAGAAGAGACATGAAGAAGAGGGGACACGTGTTGATGTAGAAGAGACATGAAGAAGAGGGGACACATGTTGATGTAGAAGAGACATGAAGAAGAGGGGACACATGTTGATGTAGAAGAGACATGAAGAAGAGGGGACACATGTTGATGTAGAAGAGACATGAAGAAGAGGGGACACATGTTGATGTAGAAGAGACACGAAGAAGAGGGGACACATGTTGATGTAGAAGAGACACGAAGAAGAGGGGACACATGTTGATGTAGAAGAGACATGAAGAAGAGGGGACACGTGTTGATGTAGAAGAGACATGAAGAAGAGGGGACACATGTTGATGTAGAAGAGACATGAAGAAGAGGGGACACGTGTTGATGTAGAAGAGACATGAAGAAGAGGGGACACGTGTTGATGTAGAAGAGACACGAAGAAGAGGGGACACATGTTGATGTAGAAGAGACATGAAGAAGAGGGGACACATGTTGATGTAGAAGAGACATGAAGAAGAGGGGACACATGTTGATGTAGAAGAGACATGAAGAAGAGGGGACACATGTTGATGAAGAAGAGACACGAAGAAGTGGGGACACATGTTGATGTAGAAGAGACATGAGGAAGAGGGGACACATGTTGATGTAGAAGAGACATGAAGAAGTGGGGACACATGTTGATGTAGAAGAGACATGGAGAAGAGGGGACACATGTTGATGTAGAGGAGACATGGAGAAGAGGGGACACGTGTTGATGTAGAAGAGACATGAGGAAGAGGGGACACATGTTGATGTAGAAGAGACATGAAGAAGTGGGGACACATGTTGATGTAGAAGAGACATGAAGAAGAGGGGACACATGTTGATGTAGAAGAGACATGAAGAAGTGGGGACACATGTTGATGTAGAAGAGACATGAAGAAGTGGGGACACATGTTGATGTAGAAGAGACACGAAGAAGTGGGGACACATGTTGATGTAGAAGAGACATGAAGAAGAGGGGACACATGTTGATGTAGAAGAGACATGAAGAAGAGGGGACACATGTTGATGTAGAAGAGACATGAAGAAGAGGGGACACATGTTGATGTAGAAGAGACATGGAGAAGAGGGGACACATGTTGATGTAGAAGAGACATGGAGAAGTGGGGACACATGTTGATGTAGAAGAGACATGAAGAAGTGGGGACACATGTTGATGTAGAAGAGACATGAAGAAGAGGGGACACATGTTGATGTAGAAGAGACATGAAGAAGAGGGGACACATGTTGATGTAGAAGAGACATGAAGAAGTGGGGACACATGTTGATGTAGAAGAGACATGAAGAAGAGGGGACACATGTTGATGTAGAAGAGACATGGAGAAGAGGGGACACATGTTGATGTAGAAGAGACATGAAGAAGTGGGGACACATGTTGATGTAGAAGAGACATGAAGAAGAGGGGACACATATTGATGTAGAAGAGACATGAAGAAGTGGGGACACATGTTGATGTAGAAGAGACATGAAGAAGAGGGGAAACGTGTTGATGTAGAAGAGACATGAAGAAGAGGGGACACGTGTTGATGTAGAAGAGACATGAGGAAGAGGGGACACGTGTTGATGTAGAAGAGACATGAAGAAGAGGGGACACATGTTGATGTAGAAGAGACATGAAGAAGAGGGGACACGTGTTGATTTAGAAGAGACATGAAGAAGAGGGGACACATGTTGATGTAGAAGAGACATGAAGAAGAGGGGACACATGTTGATGTAGAAGAGACATGAAGAAGAGGGGACACGTGTTGATGTAGAAGAGACATGAAGAAGAGGGGACACATGTTGATGTAGAAGAGACATGAAGAAGAGGGGACACATGTTGATGTAGAAGAGACATGGAGAAGAGGGGACACATGTTGATGTAGAAGAGACATGAAGAAGAGGGGACACGTGTTGATGTAGAAGAGACATGAAGAAGAGGGGACACATGTTGATGTAGAAGAGACATGAAGAAGAGGGGACACGTGTTGATGTAGAAGAGACATGAAGAAGAGGGGACACATGTTGATGTAGAAGAGACATGAAGAAGAGGGGACACATGTTGATGTAGAAGAGACATGAAGAAGAGGGGACACATGTTGATGTAGAAGAGACATGAAGAAGAGGGGACACATGTTGATGTAGAAGAGACACGAAGAAGAGGGGACACATGTTGATGTAGAAGAGACATGAAGAAGAGGGGACACATGTTGATGTAGAAGAGACATGAGGAAGTGGATTTTGCATAATAGGTGACCTTTAAATTACTCAACATTAGCTTAGCTGTTAGCCCAAACGTCTAGTTATCCGAATACCTTAACGTTAGCTCATTAGCTTAGCTGTTAGCTGAATTACACGACGTCCTTCTGCTTTTTACTGTTGTTTCTCTCAGAGGTCTATCTTATCTTAAACCAGCCATTAATCAAACCTTTTTTTTTTAAACTGTTTTGTCCTGCAGAGGTGTCCCGAAACGACTCGTGTCCCGACCTGCCTGAGATCCAGAACGGATGGAAGACTACGTCCCACATCGCTCTGGTTCGAGGGGCGCAGATCACCTATCAGTGCGACCCGGGATACGACCTGGTGGGCCGGGAGACCCTCGCCTGCCAGCTGGACCTCTCCTGGAGCAACCAGCCGCCATTCTGCGAAAAGAGTCAGTTCTTATCTTATTTATCAATCTGTTATTGTTGATGGGAAGCCGTGCAGATGGTGTCTTTGTTGTTCTCCGTGTCTGCTTCTTTCCAAGAAATGATGGAGACCAAAATGCTGTGGAAACTTTCATTTATAATTAGCAGCAAAGGGTTTGACAGAATTATGGGCAAGTGCCAAATGTAGAAAGAGCCATTTAAAATCCGTCTAAGTGATACTTTCCTTAACTTTTGGATGACTGATTCTTATAAACACTTAGTTCTGATGATATGAATGTCTCTCCGTGTGTTTCTCAGTCATGTACTGCTCAGACCCGGGACACGTGGAGCACTCGACCCGCTCCCTCTCCGACCCCAAGCTCCTGGTGGGAACAACGATTCAGTACAGCTGCACCGCCGGCTTCATCCTGCAGGGCGGCGCCACCATCAGCTGCTACGGACGAGAGCCGGGGACCCCCGTGTGGACCGCCAAACTCCCCCACTGTGTTAGTGAGTATCAGGAGAGAAGGCAAGAGTACACACATCCTCTCATCAAGTAGAAGTACAGATACTCGTGTTTAAAAATACTCTGGTAAAAGTAGAAGTACTGACTAAACTTCTTTACTCAAGTAAAAGTAAAGAGGCTTTGAAATGTACTTCAGTAAAAAGTACCCATAACTAGCAGCTGCTTTAAAGAGTACCTGACCTCCCTTTATATTAATAGAACAATAATGTCATTGTTAGCTAATGAATGTTTCCGTGCTGAACAACGGCAACATGACAACGTTTCCATTGGTCCCTCTTCTTTAGAGAAGACCAGGAAATGATGGATACACGGATCGTGTTCAAATCAATAGGCACGCAATGACTCTAAAGAATAATGATCACGCATCAAACACACATTCAGACTAAAGGAACCAGCTGTTTGGAAAATGAGAGAAGTAGAAAGTACAAGTATTTGTGTTCAACATGTAATAAGTAGAAAGTACAGGTATTTGAGTTCAACATGTAAGAAGTAGAAAGTACAGGTATTTGAGTTCAACATGTAAGAAGTAGAAAGTACAGGTATTTGAGTTCAACATGTAAGAAGTAGAAAGTACAGGTATTTGAGTTCAACATGTAAGAAGTAGAAAGTACAGGTATTTGAGTTCAACATGTTAGAAGTAGAAAGTACAGGTATTTGAGTTCAACATGTTAGAAGTAGAAAGTACAGGTATTTGTGTTCAGCATGTAAGAAGTAGAAAGTACAGGTATTTGAGTTCAACATGTAAGAAGTAGAAAGTACAGGTATTTGTGTTCAACATGTAAGAAGTAGAAAGTACAGGTATTTGAGTTCAACATGTGAGAAGTAGAAAGTACAGGTATTTGAGTTCAACATGTAAGAAGTAGAAAGTACAGGTATTTGGGTTCAACATGTAAGAAGTAGAAAGTACAGGTATTTGAGTTCAACATGTAAGGAGTAGAAAGTACAGGTATTTGAGTTCAACATGTAAGAAGTAGAAAGTACAGGTATTTGAGTTCAACATGTAAGAAGTAGAAAGTACAGGTATTTGAGTTCAACATGTAAGAAGTAGAAAGTACAGGTATTTGAGTTCAACATGTAAGAAGTAGAAAGTACAAGTATTTGGGTTCAACATGTGAGAAGTAGAAAGTACAGGTATTTGGGTTCAACATGTAAGAAGTAGAAAGTACAGGTATTTGAGTTCAACATGTAAGAAGTAGAAAGTACAGGTATTTGAGTTCAACATGTAAGAAGTAGAAAGTACAGGTATTTGAGTTCAACATGTAAGAAGTAGAAAGTACAAGTATTTGGGTTCAACATGTGAGAAGTAGAAAGTACAGGTATTTGGGTTCAACATGTAAGAAGTAGAAAGTACAGGTATTTGAGTTCAACATGTAAGAAGTAGAAAGTACAGGTATTTGAGTTCAACATGTAAGAAGTAGAAAGTACAGGTATTTGAGTTCAACATGTAAGAAGTAGAAAGTACAGGTATTTGAGTTCAACATGTAAGAAGTAGAAAGTACAGGTATTTGTGTTCAACATGTAAGAAGTAGAAAGTACAGGTATTTGGGTTCAACATGTAAGAAGTAGAAAGTACAGGTATTTGTGTTCAACATGTGAGAAGTAGAAAGTACAGGTATTTGAGTTCAACATGTAAGAAGTAGAAAGTACAGGTATTTGTGTTCAACATGTGAGAAGTAGAAAGTACAGGTATTTGAGTTCAACATGTCAGAAGTAGAAAGTACAGGTATTTGAGTTCAACATGTAAGAAGTAGAAAGTACAGGTATTTGAGTTCAACATGTAAGAAGTAGAAAGTACAGGTATTTGTGTTCAACATGTAAGAAGTAGAAAGTACAGGTATTTGAGTTCAACATGTAAGAAGTAGAAAGTACAGGTATTTGAGTTCAACATGTAAGAAGTAGAAAGTACAGGTATTTGAGTTCAACATGTGAGAAGTAGAAAGTTCAGGTATTTGTGTTCAACATGTAAGAAGTAGAAAGTACAGGTATTTGGGTTCAACATGTAAGAAGTAGAAAGTACAGGTATTTGAGTTCAACATGTGAGAAGTAGAAAGTTCAGGTATTTGTGTTCAACATGTAAGAAGTAGAAAGTACAGGTATTTGAGTTCAACATGTAAGAAGTAGAAAGTACAGGTATTTGAGTTCAACATGTAAGAAGTAGAAAGTACAGGTATTTGAGTTCAACATGTGAGAAGTAGAAAGTACAGGTATTTGTGTTCAACATGTAAGAAGTAGAAAGTACAGGTATTTGTGTTCAACATGTAAGAAGTAGAAAGTACAGGTATTTGGGTTCAACCTGTAAGAAGTAGAAAGTACAGGTATTTGAGTTCAACATGTGAGAAGTAGAAAGTACAGGTATTTGAGTTCAACATGTAAGAAGTAGAAAGTACAGGTATTTGAGTTCAACATGTAAGAAGTAGAAAGTACAGGTATTTGTGTTCAACATGTAAGAAGTAGAAAGTACAGGTATTTGAGTTCAACATGTAAGAAGTAGAAAGTACAGGTATTTGAGTTCAACATGTGAGAAGTAGAAAGTTCAGGTATTTGTGTTCAACATGTAAGAAGTAGAGAGTACAGGTATTTGTGTTCAACATGTAAGAAGTAGAAAGTACAGGTATTTGGGTTCAACATGTAAGAAGTAGAAAGTACAGGTATTTGAGTTCAACATGTGAGAAGTAGAAAGTACAGGTATTTGGGTTCAACATGTGAGAAGTAGAAAGTACAGGTATTTGAGTTCAACATGTAAGAAGTAGAAAGTACAGGTATTTGAGTTCAACATGTAAGAAGTAGAAAGTACAGGTATTTGTGTTCAACATGTAAGAAGTAGAAAGTACAGGTATTTGAGTTCAACATGTAAGAAGTAGAAAGTACAGGTATTTGAGTTCAACATGTGAGAAGTAGAAAGTTCAGGTATTTGTGTTCAACATGTAAGAAGTAGAAAGTACAGGTATTTGAGTTCAACATGTGAGAAGTAGAAAGTTCAGGTATTTGTGTTCAACATGTAAGAAGTAGAAAGTACAGGTATTTGAGTTCAACATGTAAGAAGTAGAAAGTACAGGTATTTGAGTTCAACATGTGAGAAGTAGAAAGTTCAGGTATTTGAGTTCAACATGTAAGAAGTAGAAAGTACAGGTATTTGAGTTCAACATGTAAGAAGTAGAAAGTACAGGTATTTGAGTTCAACATGTGAGAAGTAGAAAGTACAGGTATTTGTGTTCAACATGTAAGAAGTAGAAAGTACAGGTATTTGGGTTCAACATGTGAGAAGTAGAAAGTACAGGTATTTGAGTTCAACATGTAAGAAGTAGAAAGTACAGGTATTTGAGTTCAACATGTAAGAAGTAGAAAGTACAGGTATTTGAGTTCAACATGTGAGAAGTAGAAAGTACAGGTATTTGTGTTCAACATGTAAGAAGTAGAAAGTACAGGTATTTGGGTTCAACATGTGAGAAGTAGAAAGTACAGGTATTTGAGTTCAACATGTAAGAAGTAGAAAGTACAAACTTGAACAAATAAAAACTTGTTTTCAAGAGTCTTGAAGATGCGTTGTCTAAAAACAAGACCCTCTATCTCACTGCATTGTTACCTCTTCAGTTATTAGGTCGTATATCGAGTCTAAAGACATATTCTGACTAGAAATGAGACGAATATACTTGGCAAGATTTTGAGTTTTTATGGTGAGTGGGTTTGTGTGATTTCTCTCTCTCGTTCCTGCACTGATCATCACAGCGTCTCCACATGCCAGCTCATATCAACGTGTGTGTGTGTGTGTGTGTGTGTGTGTGTGTGTGTGTGTGTGTGTGTGTGTGTGTGTGTGTGTGTGTGTGTGGGTGTGTGTGTGTGTGTATGTGTGTGATATGGTAATGCCATGCTAATGCACCGTACCAATCAACCCTCACCACCTGGAGATTATCCGTGATTCATTTCACCTCAGCATGAGAGAAACTGTCAGATCTGACATTCGAGCTGACGTAAAACCCTCTGATCCGAGAAACTCAAAGGCCAAATTCCAAACCGCCCCCTGCACACTACCCCTCCGTTTGCGCGTTCGCACAGAGGGGAACAAGGTGCTTACAAATAGTTCCGTGAAAACATTAACTGATAAAATGCACAACGTGATGGACATTTAATATTGACATACAGATGTTAACAACTTCATGGTGACCTCGAATCGTTTTTTAACTTAGGATAATTTACTCATTAATCTATAAAAGTGTATATTTACAGAGACTGTCGCAAAAACTAAGCAGCTTATAAATCAGATTTAAGAAGGGAGCCTCGTTCAGCTGCGAGTGAGACTACAGACCTAGTTCACTCCATCACGGAGGGGGAGTGGGTAGGGTGTGGTTTGGAATTGGGCCTAAATATCCATGTTTTTTCTTTTGCTTCTTCCTCAGCGGAGGAGTCTGTTTCCTGTGAGAATCCCGGTCTGCCCGACAACGGATACCAGATCCTGTCCAAGAGGCTGTACCTGCCCGGGGAGTCGCTCACCTTCGTCTGTTACCAGGGTTACGAGCTAATTGGAGAGGATGCAATTAAATGCATCATGGGAACCCCGTCCTTCTGGAGCGGCCCTCTTCCGTTCTGCATGGGTGAGACTGCTCAGAAAGGCTTTTGGATTCATGCATGAAGTCAGTATTCAGTATACTTTCCCCCCCAATGCTCGTTGATCCAGATTGATCCCCCGATGCATGCTAATGACCGTTTGCTAATCAGAAGCATTCCTTAAGTAGTCCAACAGCAGGGACATTGAGAGTTACAGCAAGTGGCATAGAAAAAAGGCATGACATATTAGAAATAAGCAAAGCACACATTAGTAATACAAATAGGCACTCAAAAAGGATTACAAGCTATTTCAGTCAAACTAAGTAACAGAGATAGCATATCAAGTAACCCTTAAAAATAAATACATTTAGGTGATTATAGCGCAGTACAATTGCAAATAAGTGTTTATATTGCTCTATAGGTGTTAGTATTTCACCCAGAGGGAGTTTCTCTTCCACCCCCCCCCCAGAGAGTCAGGTGTTTGCAGGGCTAATCATATTAATAAAGGTTATTTATACAGCACCTTTCATGCTTGACGCCCAAAGTATGACAGAACAATAACAATGAGGAACATAATTGTTATGACCTGGCTCAAAAGGCCACAACAAAAAGGAGACACACCATGTCAACGGTTATCAAAATATGTTTATTTAAAGGAAACAATCCAAATTAGCCAAATGAAATGAAGTGCAACAATAAGTAAGGCATGAGGTGTGGACGTCAGTGGTATCAGTGGTGTGAATGCAGGGTGAGGGTTGCATGAATGTGTGAGAGTGTTGAGGTGCACAAAGTAAAGTAACAACAACATATACTCAACAAAACCGGGGGCCTGTAGGGAAAAGCAGAGAGGAGCACAAAGAGGAGCAGAGAGAGGAGCAGAGAGGAGCAGAGAGAGCACAGAGAGGAGCAGAGAGAGCACAGAGAGGAGCAGAGAGGAGCAGAGAGGAGCAGAGAGAGCACAGAGAGGAGCAGAGAGAGCACAGAGAGAGCACAGAGAGGAGCAGAGAGAGCACAGAGAGGAGCAGAGAGAGCACAGAGAGGAGCAGAGAGAGCACAGAGAGAGCACAGAGAGCACAGAGAGAGCACAGAGAGGAGCAGAGAGAGCACAGAGAGGAGCAGAGAGAGCACAGAGAGGAGCAGAGAGAGGAGCAGAGAGAGCACAGAGAGAGCACAGAGAGGAGCAGAGAGAGGAGCAGAGAGAGGAGCAGAGAGAGCACAGAGAGCACAGAGAGAGCACAGAGAGCACAGAGAGAGCACAGAGAGGAGCAGAGAGAGCACAGAGAGGAGCAGAGAGGAGCAGAGAGGAGCAGAGAGGAGCAGAGAGAGCACAGAGAGGAGCAGAGAGAGCACAGAGGGGAGCAGAGAGAGCACAGAGAGGAGCAGAGAGAGCACAGAGGAGCAGAGAGAGGAGCAGAGAGAGCACAGAGAGAGCACAGAGAGAGCACAGAGAGCAGAGAGAGGAGCAGAGAGCACAGAGAGAGCACAGAGAGAGCACAGAGGAGCAGAGAGAGGAGCAGAGAGAGCACAGAGAGGAGCAGAGAGAGCACAGAGAGGAGCAGAGAGCACAGAGAGAGCACAGAGAGGAGCAGAGAGAGGAGCAGAGAGAGGAGCAGAGAGAGCACAGAGAGCACAGAGAGAGCACAGAGAGCACAGAGAGAGCACAGAGAGCAGAGAGAGAGCACAGAGAGGAGCAGAGAGAGCACAGAGAGGAGCAGAGAGGAGCAGAGAGAGCAGAGAGAGCAGAGAGAGCAGAGAGAGCAGAGAGAGCAGAGAGAGGAGCAGAGAGGAGCAGAGAGGAGCAGAGAGAGCACAGAGAGGAGCAGAGAGAGCACAGAGAGGAGCAGAGAGAGCACAGAGAGGAGCAGAGAGAGGAGCAGAGAGGAGCAGAGAGAGCACAGAGAGGAGCAGAGAGAGCAGAGAGGAGCAGAGAGAGCAGAGAGGAGCAGAGAGAGGAGCAGAGAGAGCACAGAGAGGAGCAGAGAGAGCACAGAGAGGAGCAGAGAGAGCAGAGAGAGCAGAGAGGAGCAGAGAGAGCAGAGAGAGCCCAGAGAGGAGCAGAGAGAGGAGCAGAGAGGAGCAGAGAGGAGCAGAGTGGAGCAGAGAGAGGAGCAGAGAGAGCAGAGAGAGGAGCAGAGAGAGCCCAGAGTGGAGCAGAGAGAGGAGCAGAGAGAGCCCAGAGAGGAGCAGAGAGAGCACAGAGAGAGGAGCAGAGAGAGCACAGAGAGAGGAGCAGAGAGAGCACAGAGAGAGGAGCAGAGAGAGCACAGAGAGAGGAGCAGAGAGAGCACAGAGAGGCTCTAAATAGCTGGGCAGGACACCAGACCCAGGTGCCCTGAGTTACTGTCATCAAGGTAATCACTGGAGCCAATGCAGCACGGACAGAACAGCCACACCCTCTCTACTGATGACCCCACAGCGGCATCGCAGTTAAAAACAAGGTACAAACAAACAGAAATAGTTATATCACTGAACCGTAAAACAATGAAACAATAAAACATGAACAGTGATACTACGAGAGAATTACAATGGCCCCAAAGTCAGAGCCAAATTAAAAAGATAGGTCTTTCATTTACTTTTAAAAATGCCAATGGAGGCTGTTCTAAGATCAAATGGGAATCCACAGTTTGGGGCGATATAAATCAGAAAGCAGCCGCTCCAGTTTAAAGAGACATCAGAACAGAAACAACCTTTCAAAATACAACAGGAAACAGATACACTAAAAACTAGGATCATAATAACTGTTGAATAAAGGTCCTTACACACCAACCGGATTGTTGGCGTCGATAGATGTCGATAGATGTCTGGCCGTCGATGAGCGTCCTGTCGCCCTGCTCAGGTTGGTGTGTCCCGCCCATGGATGCATAATAAGGACTGGATACAGCGTGGGAGGCGGGGCCTCACTCATTCCTATGAGAGCTGCTCATTAGCGCATGATGACAAAATGGCCCAACTTTTGAGAGAGCGAAACGTCACAGATTACCCAGCATGCCTGAGAAGTTCATAGAGCATGCGCAACTTTAACCAAAATGCTCGTTCACATTAAGCACGTCAATTTGTACACGTAACAGCACCGCGCGTTCATGACAGCATGGTACTGGATTGTTATGATGGATTTTGATATTAACGAGGCGGCCGCGGCAGTTAGTAGCTAGCGGCTAGCTAGTCATTATGCTAATTTATGTACTTTTATATCACGCTGATCAAATCAAATCAAGTTTTATTTATATAGCACATTTATAAACGATGTTTGGTCGAGCCAAAGTGCTGAACTTAAAATAAAAATAGCCTACAGTAGAGACACTTTACAGCAAATACAACAGCACAGATTGTTCAGAATATCAGTATGAGAAAAACGACACCCTCTGTCCTCAGACCCTCTGTCCTTAGACCCTCTGTCCTTAGACCCTCTGTCCTTAGACCCTCTGTCCTCAGACCCTCTGTCCTTAGACCCTCTGTCCTTAGACCCTCTGTCCTTAGACCCTCTGTCCTTAGACCCTCTGTCCTCAGACCCTCTGTCCTCAGACCCTCTGTCCTTAGACCCTCTGTTCTCAGACCCTCTGTCCTCAGACCCTCTGTCCTTAGACCCTCTGTCCTTAGACCCTCTGTCCTTAGACCCTCTGTCCTCAGACCCTCTGTCCTTAGACCCTCTGTCCTCAGACCCTCTGTCCTCAGACCCTCTGTCCTCAGACCCTCTGTCCTTAGACCCTCTGTCCTCAGACCCTCTGTCCTTAGACCCTCTGTCCTTAGACCCTCTGTCCTTAGACCCTCTGTCCTCAGACCCTCTGTCCTTAGACCCTCTGTCCTTAGACCCTCTGTCCTTAGACCCTCTGTCCTCAGACCCTCTGTCCTTAGACCCTCTGTCCTCAGACCCTCTGTCCTTAGACCCTCTGTCCTTAGACCCTCTGTCCTCAGACCCTCTGTCCTTAGACCCTCTGTCCTCAGACCCTCTGTCCTTAGACCCTCTGTCCTCAGACCCTCTGTCCTCAGACCCTCTGTCCTCAGACCCTCTGTCCTTAGACCCTCTGTCCTTAGACCCTCTGTCCTTAGACCCTCTGTCCTCAGACCCTCTGTCCTTAGACCCTCTGTCCTTAGACCCTCTGTCCTTAGACCCTCTGTCCTCAGACCCTCTGTCCTTAGACCCTCTGTCCTCAGACCCTCTGTCCTTAGACCCTCAGCCCTTAGACCCTCTGTCCTTAGACCCTCTGTCCTTAGACCCTCTGTCCTTAGACCCTCTGTCCTCAGACCCTCTGTCCTTAGACCCTCTGTCCTCAGACCCTCTGTCCTTAGACCCTCTGTCCTTAGACCCTCTGTCCTCAGACCCTCTGTCCTTAGACCCTCTGTCCTCAGACCCTCTGTCCTTAGACCCTCTGTCCTCAGACCCTCTGTCCTTAGACCCTCTGTCCTCAGACCCTCTGTCCTTAGACCCTCTGTCCTTAGACCCTCTGTCCTTAGACCCTCTGTCCTCAGACCCTCTGTCCTTAGACCCTCTGTCCTTAGACCCTCTGTCCTTAGACCCTCTGTCCTCAGACCCTCTGTCCTTAGACCCTCTGTCCTCAGACCCTCTGTCCTTAGACCCTCAGCCCTTAGACCCTCTGTCCTTAGACCCTCTGTCCTTAGACCCTCTGTCCTTAGACCCTCACATCGTACAAGAAAAAACTTCCAGAGAAAACCCACAGTTTAAAGGGAACATGGGAGAAACCTCAGGGAGAGCAACAGAGGAGGATCCCTCTCCCAGGACGGACAGACGTGCAATAGATGCCGTGTGTAAATGGAAGAGATAATACATTTTACAGCGTAGGTAGGAAGACCACATGTAACAGGATCTAGTGATATCCAAGCAACACAGCTTAATTTAGCATGATACTTGTGTGGGTTGTACATGAAACCACTTGGTAATATATAAAAAAATATATAGGCCTATGTATATGTATATATTATTGCACTGTATAAATATATATATACGTATATATGTATATATATATACATATATATATATATATATATGTGTATATATATACATATATATATATGTATATATATACATATATATATGTGTATATATATGTATATATACACAGTGCAATAAGCTTCTTAGTGCAATAATAAGCTACAGGAACGTTAATCTACGTCGGTAATATTAACTTTATTTAATACAACATTTACGGTACAAGATGTAATCATACAGCCCATGTAGTATAATATTTTATAAATGATGAATTGCAGCAAACATGTGCAATATATCCATTATTACAGCTCCGTGGGCAGTAAGGCGATATGGGTCCGTTCTTATTGTGCATCCATGGGTAAAGAGAAACTCATGTAGTGCTGAACACGTAACATGAACGTGCCGGGCGGCGCGGTCCCGTGGGTTAGATGCGCGTTCATAATGCCGAGGGAAATAACTCTCAGAATAACGTTATTAGCACATTTTTACAACTTGAGGAACGAATGTTTTTAATAAGGGCTATACAAGTGTTCATACTGGGTTGTTTATTTAGTTTAAAAAAAAATTATCCAACGAGTTACAGACCACTCTTTCCCCATGTAAGTCAATGGGAAAAAGTGTTTCCGGGCCTGGCAACCAAACGGAAGTGTAGTACCGCCGTTTGGCCAGCACGAATATTTTCATCTGAGTCCGGTGCACTTCCTGGTTGCTTGGTCCCGCCCCTTCGTGCCTTTTCGGCCGTGCCGACGCCTTCCGCCGCCGATTCGACTTGTTGAATCGGGAGGCCGTCGGCCAAAGAAATCACTCTGATTGGCTGTTCAGCTAGCGAATCAGTGCATGAGAAGCTAAACGGAAGTGAGGGACCCAAACAAACTATTAAGAAGGCAAATGTGAGATTTCCTTGAACTCCAGCTCTCGACAGGTTCGGGAAAGCCCTGTGAGCTTCTCGCTGTAGAGGGAAGATGGAACGCACGCCATTTGTTGTTTGTTTATATCACGCAGTCTGTCTTCCGGTTGTTGAATGACGAATACACACTACCGCCGCCTGCTGGTAAGGAGAGGTATTGTCCGGGCCTTGAGACGTACTCAGATAACTGGCTTACAAACGGCAGAATGCGACTGGTAGGACATTCTGTGATATTTGGCAGTAGCTACTGTATTTTTGGGACTTACTAAATATGTTTCTGGCGTCTCAAACATCATGGTGCTTTGGGTCTCTGAAAGCTATGATGCCAACTTCTTCACTAGATTTAGCAACTTCATTTCCAAAAGAAAAGTGCCTCGGGATGCGATCACATGACCAGCTGACAGTTCAACCAGGAGAGACTTCATTGTGTTTAAAGAACATGTATCGACACATGCCATACGATAAATGTTAAGTCTTTGGCGATTAGACCCCGATCCTGAAATGCTATATCTAAAGGGGGAAACGCAGCCGTGAGCGTAGGGAACCCCCCGGGGTCTAGACACTGGTGATGATGATGAGGATCTGGATTTGATGAGGGGATGGGATGAAGAGGGGGTGTGATGAGTGCGGAGTGAACCAGTCTTCCTGAAAGAACTTGCGCTGAGCTTCTTTACTTTCAGAGTGAGGCATTTAATATCATATGATAGAACTTAAGTTCCTCTAAATCAATACTAGTTTTAGATAGTTCTGTTCTGTATGAATCTTGTGCATAAAACTACAACAACAAATAAACAAAACAACAACAAAAAGAGGTGATAAAGACCCTAACCCCTTAAGGTGGATCATGATTAAGAATCAGATCAGAAATACTTTATTTAAGCTGATGGTTACGTAAGAATGGCTCCATTTTCTTTAATACAATTAAATGACATTTATAGTAAATCAAATTGAATACAATTAAATCCTAAAATGAAATAGTGCTCCATGTAGGAAAGATGGTGGGCTGTTGTCATGCATGTAGCCATGGCCCGTCGTCTCTCCCTCCATGAGAGTACAGAGCATGAGGATTAGCAAACGGTCATTTCAACCCCCTTGTTCCACACAAGCCCCAGAAGAAGAAGTGAGATGTGTTTTCCCATCATGTGACTGACACTCAGAATGATGTCTTGCAGCCTACAGTAGCTGCTTTGACCACCATGATCTGGAAGGTGAGTGTTACCTGTCCTCCATGTTGCTGTGGGCTGAAAAGACCCCCGCAAAAACACTTCACCTCTAACCATAACCCTAACAGCTGATGCTCCGCCTACACTGCGTTACTATAGTTACTACCCCAGTTCCTAAACTGTAATGGAAACGCGGCCGTGAGCCGAGCGAGGCCCTGCAGTGGAAAAGCGCCATTAGTCTCGTTGTCAGCTTTTAGAGTCCTGTTGTGAAGAGGGGAATGTATAGTAGGGGTCCCACGGGCACAATTAGCATAAGTTGCGTTAATTAGCATATGCTGGCAAAGTGGTTGTGGGGGTAACTGAGGATGCTGAATCCATTTCTGACATTTTCAGGATCAAAATCGGCCAATTATTCATCAAAATCAAGCCCTAAGAGCAACACATACTGACACCTGGTTAAAACTGCCATTTCTGATCCTGAAAATGTCAGAAATGGATGTGGTGGAATTTCTTGATATGAACTCGTCAAAGAGATGTCTTTCTGGTCCTTTCATCTTTTGCAAAAGAGGCAAACAACACGAAGAGCAATGTCTCCACAGCCGAGTGCAACTCAAACTGAAGAGAGCACTTTTATACAGTTACAATGAATACATGCTTAGTCATGAGATAACTGACCCTATCAATAGACCCATGATCAGCTCACTGTGTGGTCACATGACACCTTGTGGCTGATCACCTTCCTGAGTGCTGACATCTACTGTCTCTTGACATGTAAGGATTACACAATTGTATTATTTATATGTTAAATATAACAGCATTCAATTCTCTGATAATCATAATTTCTGTTAGAAACTCTCCCTGGTCCCCGGCTTGAGCTTCAGCCTCAGGATCCATGTATCTGTGATCCTCTCCAGAATGGAAGGAGTCATCACATACAGAGCATCAACTAGTTCCTGAGCAGTGTCCTTCACATGCTGATATCCAAGAGAGGGAGTTACAGTCACAAGATGGAGGAATGCCGGTTCTTGAACTCAACAAAACACTGACTTTTTTCCTCAAAATGCTGACTTTTTTCTCAAAATCATTTTTTTTACTTTCTCTCAAAATTCTGTCGTTTTTCTCAAAATCTCAAAATTATGATTTCTCTCAAAATTATGTATTTTTTCTCAAATTCGAACTTTTTTCTCAAAATATTTTTTTTTAAATTTCTCGCAAAATTATGCCTTTTTTCTCAAAATCTCAAAATTCGGACTTTTCTTGAATACTTAAACATGTTAATAATCCCTGGTCCCCAGTTTGAGCTTCAGCCTCAGGATCCATGTGTCTGTGATCCTCTCCAGAATGGAAGTAGTCATCACATACAGAGCATCAACTAGTTCCTGAACAGTGTCCTTCACATGCTGATATCAAGAGAGGGAGTTACACAGTCACAAGATGGAGGAATAGAAAGCAGTATTCAATGTTTACTTCAGATTAGCTCCACGTCAGAAATGAGCATGCTTGATGTCTCTCTCCATAGAGGCTGAATCATCATGTTAATCACATAGCTATCATCTGCCTCAAACAGTCCTGATGCTCTTCTAGGTAATCACACATCCTGCCATGTTCACAGCTACAGTTGATACCTTTGTTAGCATGCTACTCTCATGTTGGAAGAGTATTTTCCCAACAATTTCCATTACAACACCAGAACCACTCCAACATTGTCCAAGATCGACCAAGCCATTTCTATCAACTATTGTCTGCATAGGATATCATGTCATTGTATGCTAATGAGGACCCTGACTATACATTTTCTGGCAACCAGCCTCTCTGTTTCTGCTCTGCCTGTTGTGTGTGTGTGTTCCCGCCTGTTTGCATGTGTTTACACCTGTGTGTGCTTTGCCTTCCTGCCCTGGACTTACTGAGGTTGTGTGATTGGTTTTAATTAACCGGTTTTATGAATGTGTTGTCTCTCTCAGTGGCTCGAGCGACGGCAGGCTCCAAGCTGGACGGGGGAAACGTGGCGCTCGCCATCTTCATCATCGTTCTGGTTCTGTCCGTGCTGCTCGGGGGGGCTTATGTCTACGTGACACGGTAAGAAACAAGCGTCAGTGTGTGGGGACAATAACAACAAATATAATTGATTTAATTAAGTACAGTTAAATGTGATTCTCCAAACTAGGTCTCTAATTGATAAAGCTGTTTTTCAAGTCTTTAAATGACTTGTTATCAACCCAAGACACCATGTGAAACCTCCCTCTGGAACATCTTCTCCAAACTGGCGTCTGTAAATATGTTTTTCTGTCTCCTCCTCTTCCTCCTCTTCCTCCCCTCAGATGCAGATATCACTCCAACCTGAGGCTTCCTCTGATCTACCCCCACCCGTACCGACAGATCACCGTGGAGACGGAGTTCGATAACCCGCTGTATGAGACCGGAGGAGTGAGTTTAAGAAATAATACCAACACTGAGCAGCGTCACTAACACCATCCATCTCCCTGCAGTCACCTCTCAGCCATATTTCTGCACTACCTACATCTATGGACACACACACACACACACACACACACACACACACACACACACACACACACACACACACACACACACACACACTGCTAATAACTATTTATTGTAACTTTGATTTGCCTCTTCATACTACTCCACTTACATTTGGAAGAATATTTGTTTTTTAGGTACCTACCTACCTACCTACCTACCTACCTACCTACCTAGGTAGGTAGGTAGGTAGGTAGGTAGGTAGGTAGGTAGGTAGGTAGGTAGGTAGGTAGGTAGGTAGGTAGGTAGGTAGGTAGGTAGGTAGGTAGGTAGGTAGGTAGGTAGGTAGGTAGGTAGGTAGATGGATATATATACAGTATAGATAGATAGATACTTTATTGATCCCGATTTGGGAAATTCTATCGTCACAGAAGCATAAGTGTGTTCAGACTTCATAATACAATACTTAAAATACTTAAAAGAGTGGTAAAAGAGACTTAACAATACAAATGAAAAGGAACAAAATGAAAACTATTATATCAAATATAAACAATCTGTCTCACTGCAATACCCTCTCAGAGCCATGGTACTGTAATACCTACATCTAGCTATTAACTATGGACACACACCGAGTACATTTACTTCCGTACTGTGCTTGAGTATAATTTTAAGGTACTTTTATTTGCCTCTTTATCTACTCTAAAATATGTTACTTGTTACTGCCCTACATCTATTTGCAGACTCTGTTGTGATTGCTCAACCAATTTACAGATGTCCCGCCCCTTAGCCTATCACGTACAATCTGTTGCAGCGCTAGCCAATAGGAGCCGAGTATTCCATAGTGATGTCACTTTGTTGCAGAACTCTGGGATTTTCGCCTTTGCAGACCATTGACATGCACGAGGGAAAACTACACATCGGGCCTCTTTAAGTAGAATATCTGAGTTTACTTTCACCTGTGCTGCCTACCCAGAAGCCTTTTAACTGGTTTTAGTACCTACTGTATTTACAATGTTGTTTTTAAACTATTATGTATCTCTTTTAAGGTCTTATTAAGTGTTAAGGTTCATGTAAACCCTGTAACCCTAAGTGTTAAGGTTAATACCTAATACCTTACCTTAGTACTAACTTCTATTTCTCTCTCATTACCAGGACTCTCGTGAATATGAAGTATCGATATGAAGAAGGAGTAGTTTCTGAAACGTCCCCCATCCCTCCTCCTCTTCCTCCTCTTCCTCCCCTCCTTCCTCCTTCTCCACCCAGCAGGAGGCCATGTAAATAAAATAGATGATGTCTAGCCCCTTCTGCCACGAGAAGCAAAGACTGATGATACTGAAGGCATGATGGGAAACATGAGAGGGAACAAGAGAGGGAACAAGAGAGGGAACAAGAGAGGGAACAGGAAACAAGAGAAGGAGTCAGTGTTGAACTTCAAAGCGCCAGGTGATGGAGGACGGAGGGGAAAAAGGTTTTGGGTGTGAATTGGAATAAAGGGGCAGGACACAGAGAGAGGAAGTAAAGGCGATTAAAGCACTTTGTTATTATTTTTGTTAATTGTAAAAATGTTTTGAAAGGATCCTGGAAAATGTGTCTAAAAGAGTTGTAATCTTTAAGATTTTCAAACTGATATTTTTGAACTATTTATGGTCGGTGTTTCCTGCAATAGCCACTCGACATATTTATATTCAGTGGTTTCGATTTGTTTAAACGGCGGAGTCTGATATTCACATATACTGGGTTCACATTTGTCTTAGCTGTTTACGCTCCCACTTAGCTTCAATGCTAACCAGATACTTCCTGCTGCCATTTCTGTTGTTTAAAATATCAAAACATACGGTGGCTTTTATGGTGAAGCGCTCACAGGAAGTACTGTCTCCAAGGTTAGGGCTTATAATCTTTAAAAACGATCCTGGCTGCACTTTAATGAGACAGCAAACTGTGGAAAGCTACATTAGCTGTGAGTTAGCCGCCAACAGCATTTCTTTGACTTCAACAGAAACTCTGGTTCCTTCTTTCATTTATCTCATATTTCCTCTCATTTCTGCACCTTCACCAATGACATTCATTTAGACCCCGGTAACATTTTCAACTGCCACAAAACGGTCAAATAACGCTCGACCCTGTGGATTTGCGTCTACTTGCATGGTGACATTGCCTCAAAATCCACCTAGCCTCCTGTCTGAACCATGAATGTAATAACTAGACTCAACAATTGTTTGTACACACACCTGCCCATGCTATTAGTGTGTGCAAAAGGTATTAAATGTGTGTTTACAGTTAAAGATTTGTCTTGAAAATGGAGGTCAACGGGGAAAAAAACCTATTATTGGATCATAACTGGCCGAATTCACATTAAGTGGAAGCGCTGAGTCCATTAATGCATCCATGGTCTGAACACTGTGCAAAACAACATGCATGAACAACCTCACCTGAAATCTTAAGGATGAGTCTTAAAGGGGACACATTTGTTGTTTACATGCACACTCATGTCGAGCCACAAACTGTTAATACGAGGAAGGAAATATTGAAAAGCTTTTTGTATTCCTTTCCTCATTATTTTGTAACTGTGTCCTGCCCCCTGCCTGTGGAAAGGATGTTTGTATCAGCAGGTCCAGCTCTGGCTTTACTTCCAGTCAAATCTGTGACTTTAAGGCCTTTTCTCACATGTATTTCAATGTTGTAATCCGGCCTCTCAGTCTCCAGCTCTGGACCCGCTGGCTTCTAAATGTAAAATAGCTGCAGACGCGAAAAGGTTTGCGATGTAAATAAAGCGTAGAAACTGACGAGCTCAATCAAAACCCACCAGATGATGTAATTTATTTTGATGTACTGTACATGTCATGTTTTATGCAGATTGATAAATGTACATTTTCATTATGAGAAGAACAAATGTTAAAAGTTTCCCTAAATAAATGGTTAAGACTTTGAATAAAAAAATCTACAAAATACTTTTTAAACATCGAGGCGTTCGGTTCCATTCTTTGGTGTCGATGTGTTTCTTTTTCAGGGTCAAAATATACTTTATTTCATATTTAATATCTTAACTTTTCTACTTTTACTTGAGTAACACTTTGAATGCAGGACTTTTACTGAAACAGAGTATTCCTACTTTTACTCAAGAACAAGATCTGAGTACTTTTACATTACATTACATTTAGCTGACGCTTTTATCCAAAGCGACTTACAATAAGTGCGTTCGACCAACAAAATATAAACTTGAAGAAAACAGAATCATATAAGTACATCAGGCTTCATAGAGCAAAAACATTTCAAGTGCTACTCAACTGGCTTTAGATAAGCCAGCCCTTTATTAGTATATAAGTGCTTTGTTAATAGTTCTATCGCTCGAAGTGGAGTCGAAAGAGATGAGTTTTCAGTCTGGAAGATGTGTAAGCTATCTGCTGTCCTGATGTCAATGGGGAGCTCATTCCACCATCCTGGAGCCAGGATAGCAAACCCACGTGTTTTTGCTGATGGGAACTTGGGTCCTCCTCGCAGCGAGGGTGCAGCGAGTCGTTTGGTTGATGCAGAGCGGAGTGCACGCGCTGGGGTGTACAGTTTAACCATGTCCTGGATGTAGGAAGGGCCAGATCCATTCGCAGCATGGTACGCAAGTACCAGTGTCTTGAAGTGGATTCTAGCAGTTACTGGAAGCCAGTGAAGGCAGTACTTCTACTTTTACTCAAGAACAAGATCTGAGTACTTCTACTTTTACTCAAGTAATAGATCTGAGTACTTCTACTTTTACTCAAGAACAAGATCTGAGTACTTCTACTTTTACTCAAGTAATAGATCTGAGTACTTCTACTTTTACTCAAGAACAAGATCTGAGTACTTCTACTTTTACTCAAGAACAAGATCTGAGTACTTCTACTTTTACTCAAGAACAAGATCTGAGTACTTCTACTTTTACTCAAGTACAAGATTTGAGTACTTCTACTTTTACTCAAGTACAAGATCTGAGTACTTCTACTTTTACTCAAGTACAATATCTGTACTTTTACTCAAGTACAAGATCTGAGTAATTCTACTTTTACTCAAGTACAAGATCTGAGTACTTCTACTTTTACTCAAGTACAGGTTCTGAGTACTTCTACTTTTACTCAAGAACAAGATCTGAGTACTTCTACTTTTACTCAAGTACAAGATCTGAGTACTTCTACTTTTACTCAAGTACAAGGTCTGAGTACTTTGACTTGTATCAGAGTATTCTTACACTCTGGCAGAAAAGGAGACTGATATATAACTAGGTGTTTTTGTTATTGTTTGACCTGGAAATGAAACATGAGTGTGTTTTGTAAACTGATGTCCTAAAAACCTGTTCACCATGTATTATTATTTATTTGAAGTCCTGCTTTTCTGTCCTGCTAATCATCATTCAAACCACTTAAATGTGTTCTGGTGAGGTTCATGACCCCTATATTGGACCCAGATCATCAGCAACACAGAATCACAAGTCATGTATTCAGCCTAGAGAGGAGAAATGCACATGGACACAGCCAAAGGGACTTTAAATTGCAACGTACAAACATTGTAATCTACTTAATAGTCGAGCAAAGCTTCTTTAAAGTATAAACGTCCTTGCAGTTTGGCTTCCTTCCAGTTTAACAAGCGACTTCTCTCTGGATTACCCTGATGTGTGGGAGGAGAAACCTGTTTTAATGTGTCTAATGGTTCCTTCTGCTGAATGCTAATAAGACGATAGTGCTTCCTGCAGCGAAAGCAATTTCCAGAGGCGTTTCCTGCTGCGGTTAATCCAACTGCTGGAGCTTTAAACCGGATATTCTGGATAAACTACCCACACAGGTTTAATGAAGCAGTTTCTCTCAGCAGCCATAAATACATGTATGACTGTGTGCATCCAGAGAGGCTGCTATAATGAGCAGAAACACATTGAGGTCATTAATATAACAAGCTGCTAACAGCGAGGGCCACTCTCACAACACGGAGACACAGGAAGCCATTATTCTGCAGGCATTAATGTGTGATGGAGAGACGCAGGGCGGAGAGGAATAATGAACTCTCCCTCTAACTGTGGTTGAACAAAACACTTTCAAATCATATCAGTGATCTTCTTAAAGTCGGAGTTTAGTCTAATAGAAACCAGGGGTGGGAAGTAACTAAGTACATTTACACAAGTACATTACTTAAGTAGAGATACTTGTACTTTACTTGAGTATTTCCAATTGATGCTACTCCACTACAATTCAGAGGTAAATGGTGTACTTTCACTCCACTACATGTATTTAATACCTTTAGTTACTTTACAGATCTGAGTACTTCTTCTTTTACTCAAGTACAAGATCTGAGTAATTCTACTTTTACTCAAGTACAACATCTGAGTACTTCTACTTTTACTACAAGTTCTGAGTACTTCTACTTTTACTCAAGTACAACATCTGAGTACTTCTACTTTTACTACAAGATCAGAGTACTTCTACTTTTACTCAAGTACAAGATCTGAGTACTTCTACTTTTACTCAAGTACAAGCTCTGAGTACTTCTACTTTTACTCAAGTACAATATCTGAGTACTACTACTTTTACTCAAGTACAAGATCTGAGTACTTCTACTTTCACTCAAGTACAAGATCTGAGTACTTCTACTTTTACTCAAGTACAATATCGGAGTACTTCTCCCAGACATATGCATTATTTCTATACTTCTTAATTCAATCAGCCTTTTCCTTTTAGAGGACATCTTTTATAATCTAATCCAATGTCTATCATAATTAAATAATACTATTAAAAACCGCCTTCAAACCTGCCGGACATGCATGCAGATATGATAAATACATGATTGTTGTTTCTGCCGACGTTAGATATAATACAAAATATAAATGATCTGAGAGTAAATACATGTATTGGAATGAGTTGCACAGCTAATTTTAAATACCTGAGTCGAGAGAATATGCACTTCAGACACATTGTTGTTAGTGATTATCTGAAATCAAAAGACAATTACATAGAAGAAGCGATCAATACTCTGCCGTCCTCCACCAATAATCTGCTCAGTCAGTATTTTCTGCAGACAGTGTTTTTTGGTTAATGACTGAATGGTAATGAAGGGTCACAGGCAGAGTAAAGTTCATGATGGGACTGAAATCAATCCTCCTGCTGGGAAAACGTGCCGAATAATATCCAGTCGATTTATGAATATGACTCAGAGGATCCTGCTTGTTACATAATATAAATGCATGATGATGGGGTAAAGGTCACAAGGTCGAGAACATCAATATGTCCTTTTCTCATGTAATTATTAATACAGAAGTCAAAGAGGTCATTCTATTTCTTCAGCTCTCAGTGGAGGTTATTATGAGCCAAGAATCAGGGTCAAAGGCTCATGTTTAATGCGTATTTTATCACATAATTGCAGTAATAAACATGTTAAGTAAGCCTGTGTTTTGACCACCATGACTCTAGTTATATCACCAAAGTATTACTAGTTTATACTAAGGTGAACATGAATATCTGAGCTACATTTTAAGGCAATCTTTCCAATCGTTTTTAAGACATTTCACAAAAAATTCACAAAAATGTGCCTTGTTATTATTTATAACTTGTTGTAATAATGTTAGGGTTTAAATACCAAAGTATTTAATAGAGGGTTGGCTGTTTAAAAGGTTCCGGATGAAAAGTTTTCATTTTGATATCAAAAATAATACTGACTTCCATTGTCAAAACAAATAAGTAGACGCATGAAGTGAAACAAAAAGCCCAATATATTTTCCTCCTAAATGTATTCCACTAGAAGTCATACTTGCATAACATGTAGATACGTAAGTATAGTAACATTACTTTAAACGTGTACTTCTTCTTCTTCTTATTTGCTTTAATGGTAAGTCGCAACCAACGTGTACTTAAATCGTCAACAGTATTTTAGTACACGTACTTATTTACATAACCACGACTGCTGCCATGGATTCACTGTATTTCAAGTATCCATCCGCGCAGGCTGCGAAAAGGTCATTTTTCAGCCTCACCGTCGTCTAAAAAACGATTAATCTCACGTATAAAACATGTATTGTTTCTTCATCTCGAATATTTGTGTTTAATTCAAGAAAAAGGTTAAACGGTGTATCGTCGCTAAATAACATGTTATAGTTCCACCGAAGGACGCAGCGGAAGGACACCACACTGTTTTGTATAAATACTGCTGCGCTGCTCTTTGTTCCTCAGACCTGACAGCAGCCGGAGCAGATTGGTTACAGCTGGAAAAACACTTGTTTGTAAGTATTTAAAGCCGTTTAGTGTATATTTACTGTGTATAAGCCCATATTTTACCAATGTATATCTTTGTGTTACTAAGTATTAATGTGGTAGCCCTCTATATAGCTGTTTAAATCGAATAAATGACGAACGGTCGCTGTTTTTTAGCCCTAGCTGGGGCCTAAAAGCAAAACAAGAAAACGTCGACGGGCAGAAGGAAATTAATCTAAATCCTGCCTTTTATTCAGTCTGGTAAATCAGTAACTGTAATAGCTGTAACGTATTAAAGGCGAGATATATCTCTGACCACAATAACTATACAAAAAAAGACATTTAATGCCGCATCCGGTTACCGTAGCAACATTAGCTTATATTGGCATAGCCGTTAGCTTACCTGTTAGCTCAAACGTCTGTCTAGCTAAATGACTCATCGTTAGCTTAGCTGTTTAGCTTAGCTGTTAGCCCGAATGTCTGGTTAGTTGAATGACTCAACGTTAGCTGTTTAGCTTAGCCGTTAGCTGAATTACTCGACGTCATTCTGTTTAAGCTTTTACGTGTATTTTTTTAACTAGGTTTCAAACTCGGGTCTATTGTATTTTAATTAATGAGGTAGTGTGTGTTCTGTTTTCATAAAATGCTACCACAGTTATAAAAGAGGAACTTATTTAGAAGCCGTTTGGATTAGCTGTAAAATGCCTCGTCACTGCTGAAAATGGGGTGTTTTTTCTTTTGAGCTCAGGGAATTTTTTTACTTTCAATTGATGCCACAAAGGCATACTCTTACATTATAACACTGCATAGTGTTCACGATTAAATGGATGGATTATTTATCCCAAACTGGGAAATAATTTTGTCAAAGCAACATTTTGAATTACGAATTGTTTTTTTTATTAAAGAAATTGACATTTGAAAAATCTAAAAAGCAATAAAACAAAATACCTGTATTCAGAGGAATATCTAAAAAATATAAAATGGACAATATAATAACATACCAATCTCCTGTTAATATACATAAACAATTGTGTACAGTAGTTTGAAATAAAAAAACAACAAAGCAATTTTTACTAAAGAATAATTAATACTGAAGAGAACATTTTACTAGACAATCAATACTTCTGCTCAAAGTACTTATTTTTAATTACGTTTTTTAAATGCAGAACTTTGCTTGTTGAACATTTTTGTGATAACTAGTCTTATGAGTACATTCTGAATTATTCATGTTTTTCTTCTCTTCAGTGTCAAAATGCAGATCTTCGTGAAGACCCTCACTGGAAAGACCATCACCTTGGAGGTGGAGGCAAGTGACACCATTGAAAATGTCAAGGCCAAGATCCAGGACAAAGAAGGCATCCCCCCAGATCAGCAGAGGTTGATCTTTGCTGGCAAGCAGCTGGAAGATGGCCGCACTCTCTCCGACTACAACATCCAGAAGGAGTCCACTCTTCACTTGGTCCTGCGTCTCCGTGGAGGCATGCAGATCTTCGTGAAGACCCTCACTGGAAAGACCATCACCCTGGAGGTCGAGCCAAGTGACAGCATCGAGAACGTGAAGGCCAAGATCCAGGACAAAGAAGGCATCCCCCCAGATCAGCAGAGGTTGATCTTTGCTGGCAAGCAGCTTGAAGATGGCCGCACCCTCTCCGACTACAACATCCAGAAGGAGTCCACCCTCCATCTTGTGCTCCGTCTGAGGGGAGGCATGCAGATCTTTGTCAAGACCCTCACCGGAAAGACCATCACCCTGGAGGTTGAGCCAAGTGACAGCATCGAGAACGTGAAGGCCAAGATCCAGGACAAAGAAGGCATCCCCCCAGATCAGCAGAGGTTGATCTTTGCTGGCAAGCAGCTTGAAGACGGCCGCACCCTCTCCGACTACAACATCCAGAAGGAGTCCACCCTCCATCTTGTGCTCCGTCTGAGGGGAGGCATGCAGATCTTCGTCAAGACCCTCACCGGAAAGACCATCACCCTTGAAGTCGAGCCAAGTGACAGCATCGAGAACGTGAAGGCCAAGATCCAGGACAAAGAAGGCATCCCCCCAGATCAGCAGAGGTTGATCTTTGCTGGCAAGCAGCTTGAAGATGGCCGCACCCTCTCCGACTACAACATCCAGAAGGAGTCCACCCTCCATCTTGTGCTCCGTCTGAGGGGAGGCATGCAGATCTTTGTCAAGACCCTCACCGGAAAGACCATCACCCTGGAGGTTGAGCCAAGTGACAGCATCGAGAACGTGAAGGCCAAGATCCAGGACAAAGAAGGCATCCCCCCAGATCAGCAGAGGTTGATCTTTGCTGGCAAGCAGCTTGAAGATGGCCGCACCCTCTCCGACTACAACATCCAGAAGGAGTCCACCCTCCATCTTGTGCTCCGTCTGAGGGGAGGCATGCAGATCTTCGTCAAGACCCTCACCGGAAAGACCATCACCCTTGAAGTCGAGCCAAGTGACAGCATCGAGAACGTGAAGGCCAAGATCCAGGACAAAGAAGGCATCCCCCCAGATCAGCAGAGGTTGATCTTTGCTGGCAAGCAGCTTGAAGACGGCCGCACTCTCTCCGACTACAACATCCAGAAGGAGTCCACTCTTCACTTGGTCCTGCGTCTCCGTGGAGGCATGCAGATCTTCGTGAAGACCCTCACTGGAAAGACCATCACCCTGGAGGTCGAGCCAAGTGACAGCATCGAGAACGTGAAGGCCAAGATCCAGGACAAAGAAGGCATCCCCCCAGATCAGCAGAGGTTGATCTTTGCTGGCAAGCAGCTGGAAGATGGCCGCACTCTCTCCGACTACAACATCCAGAAGGAGTCCACCCTCCATCTTGTGCTCCGTCTGAGGGGAGGCATGCAGATCTTCGTCAAGACCCTCACTGGAAAGACCATCACCCTGGAGGTTGAGCCAAGTGACAGCATCGAGAACGTGAAGGCTAAGATCCAGGACAAAGAAGGCATCCCCCCAGATCAGCAGAGGTTGATCTTTGCTGGCAAACAGCTGGAAGATGGCCGCACCCTCTCCGACTACAACATCCAGAAGGAGTCCACCCTCCATCTTGTGCTGCGTCTCCGTGGAGGAAACTAATCCCCCTCCTCTCTAAAGAAGTCTAGAGAAAGCCACCCATCTATACCAGGGTTGAATTTTCAATTTTTGCTCCGGCTGTCAGTCATTCCATTTTTATTTGTTTTCATTTTTTAAAGTTTAAATAAAGATTGAGCATTCCTGACTTTTGCATTTTACTTTAAATGATTTAATTGAGACTGGTTTAGCTGACAGTGTGTTCATGGGGTTCCACAATTTGATTGATGGTAATTTATTAAACGGAAAATACATAAGCATGATGTAAACCGTATAGGATCAAAGTATGCATAGATAAAAGTTCACTATCGGGTAATATAATATAATGTTGACTGTTTTTCGACAAACCCCCAGAATGGAGCCGCTGAAAATATTGCTGTGACAAATGTTGGTGGTAACTAATAAAATGACTTGAACTGTCCCCACTCTGACATTATTTTTAAATAACACCTTACACTCAGTACATCCTACATTTTGCAGCACTGCTCATTTAAAATACCTCACTATTAATTCTCTGGGTTTCAAGTTATTAAAGTAATGTTTGTCCATAAGCTGCGATATCTGCTTTTCTGTGAAACAGTACTTCACTGATATTTCAGTTTGCCAGTAGCTTAAAATATCACACTCTTCCAGATGTTACTGGCGTCAGCATCTAAAATGGACGTATGTGGAATGTGCAGAATTATTACTGCAATAGTTAATATTCAGTTTGAGTTGAGTCACTTCAATATATTTCAAAGCTATTTATTGTACATGTTTAAAAGTACCTTTAATTTAGACACTTTACTATAATTTGGAGTTATATATATAGTTTGATATAAAGCGGGTGTGGTGTAATGGCGCGTTTCCACTGCAGGCCTCGCTCGGTTTGGTTAGGCCTTATTAGGCCCGGCTCACTTTAATGCTGCGCTTCCATTACAGTTTAGGAACTGGGGTAGTTACTATAGTAACGCAGTGTAGGCGGAGCCGTGACGTCATCTTCAATGAGAGCCCCAGAAAAAGCTACCCGCTGCAGTGAAAACGCGCCATAATGCTCCTTCTGGGAAGTGACGCTCCTGAGATGCACGTCATCAACAGCCACAGATGCTAAGTGCTAACTAAAGAGCTAGCTGTTGCTTTCTGCGTTTAATGGAGAACTTTTAGCTTTAGTCAAGAGGTTTTATTGTTAAGATGGTTGTACTGGGAATTTCACCTGTTATCACCTTTTGCCAAGGGGAGTAATCCATGGATGTATGATAAAAACTGGATACAGCGTGAGAGCTGCTCATTGACGCATGAAGACAAAATGGCCCCACTTTTGAGAGAACGAAATGTCACGAAAGTATTCACATAATCATATAATCCGTTCTTGTTGTGCATCCATGGGTAAAGGTACAACTCATGTAGTGCTGAACACATCACATGAACGTGCCGGGCGGCGCGGTCCCGTGGGTTAGATGCGCGTTCATAATGCCGAGAGAAATAACTCATAACGTTATTAGAATATTTTACAACTTGAGGACCTAATGTTTTTTATAAGGGCTATACACATGTTCATACTGGGTAGTTTATTTAGTTTAAAAAAATCGTCGTTATCCAACGATTTACAGACGTCTCTTTCCCAATGTTAGTCAATGGGGGAAAGTATTTCCGGGCCCAGCGACTGATACCGAAGTACCGCGTTTGGCCACAACGAATATTTTCCTCAGAGTCCGGCGCACTTCCTGGGGGCTTGGAAAATATTCGGTCCTCAAGTTGTAAAATGTGCTAATAACGTTATTCTGAGTTATTTTCCTCGACATTATGAACGCGGACCCAACCCACGGGACCGCTCCGCCCGGCACGTTCATGTGACGTGTTCAGTAGTATGAGTCAGTTGTACCATTACGCACAATGAAAACGGATTATATGAATATCCATATTATACATCCATGATATTTTCCTCAGAGTCCGGCGCACTTCCTGGGGGTTTGGAGTAATCAGGTAATTTACTTCAGGAAATGACGTGGCAAAGTTAAGAATGCCTTAAAAAATACATTTAAAAAGTCAAATGACACTGTCGAAAAATATAGTTAAATAGTCTTAGTAAAGTCAGGAAAAATAAATAAATGTATTTATTTTTAAACTGATGTCTTCATCTTATTTCCAACATATTTCATCATGTTTACAACAAAGGAACCCTGGAAGAGTATCACTTAAAACAAGTGGTTTAAAAAGGTCACAAAAAAAGCCATAATTGTTCTGTAATATGAAAAAAGAAATTCAAATATTGTGTGAAAACAGGATTAAAATAGTAATATTCTAGTATCTCTGTATAAAAATGTATAGCATAGTATGATATACAAATAAACAAGTCAGAAAATCCAAGTATAGGATGACAGAAAAAAATATAAGAGATTTAAAAAAGGCATAGTTTCACAGAAAAGGTCGAGACAAATTGAAAAAAGTCATAGTATAGTGAGTTAAAAAAAGTCATAGTATAGTGTGTTAAAAAAAGTCATAGTATAGTGAGTTAAAAAAAGTCATAGTATAGTGTGTTAAAAAAAGTCATTGTCAGGGAATAATTCTGAATACATGTTTACCTTTCGCCCTCTGACGCAGCTGCCCTAACCCTTGAGCAGCCGCTATCTCCCATAAGGAGGGCCTGCCCTAGCAAGTTGTGGTTGTTACCAGTTTGTTACCGGGCAGCTCTCGGTCAGAGATAGTGATTGTTGTGGGACACCTGGAACACATCCTTCTCTGGGTGCAGATGACCTCGAGCCATAAGCGACAACAACTGTGATTCAGTGTCCTCAGCTGTTCAGTCTCTCTATTGAAGAATGTTGATTATTACTCTGAACTAGTTCAAACCTGGAGCTGCAGGAGGCTCTTCAGGATTGATGGTGGCATCTCACCCGTGTGGTCAGACCGTGGTCAGTGACATGTCTTGTGAATTCTCCGGCCGAAGCTCCAAATAACTCGTCAGCGTTTGCCGGGCACTTTGTAGGCTGCGCTCAGGCAGGCGCTTCCGTACCACGTCTTCCCGGACAAACAGACTCAAGTTCAGTTTATTTAATTTCCCCAGGGCCATATGTGCACTAAACGCTGCTAATATTTAAATTATATAAGCCTTCCGTGCAATACGAGGGGAATTGTGCAATTTAATTTATTATTTATTTATGTACATATTCCCTATCATGTCTATTTTAAGTCCCATTTGTTGAGTTTATTGTAATTGCGTTGTACCTGTACAACATTAAAGATCTATCTGAATGAATTGACCTGAATGTTTTTTGTGTATTATCTCGATGCCCAAGACACATTTCTCCTAAGGGAGACAATAGAGCTCTATCTTATCTCTATCTATCAAAGCTCCAGCTCTCCTCGTGTCTCTTTGAGTCCTGACTCCAATTGCTACAGAAGTTTCCCCCACATGGTGCATGTCGAAACACATTATGTCGAAACATTCTTAAAATAGTCAGAGTATGTGAACAATTATTTAAAAAGCCATAATTAAGTGTTTCTAAAAACGTAATATGTTGAAAATGTTTTCACTAAATGTAATGTATTTCAATTCCTCCCGTGAGAGGTTAATGATAGCAGCACAAAACAAAACGAACACATTTTAAATGATGTTTTATTACATTTTCTGGGCTTTACATCCACAGTGCGTCATTCTCTAGTATTCTTTAAATGCACAAGAAAAAGAAAAAATCATGATGAATAAAACTGATGCCTAGCGGGTTCATTTGTATATTATTATAAACACATTTTGGTTCTTTTTTTTGCAGCTATTTTTGGTCACTACCTAGAGAGATTCAGGTGGGGGGGGGGGGTGCAATACATGGAATACAATCTGATAAAAACCCGATTAAAGAGGAAGAGCTCTGCCTCTTTGCTTATTGGGCTTGGTTTCTAAAGTGTAAATGAGATACCCTGCAGATTATAATCAGCTCCTGCTGGTGTCTTACAGCTCGGTGTCGGCACACGAGCCCCTGAAGAGAGATGGCTTTCGCTGAGAGTCTCTGTGGATAGCAGGTGTTTGCAGCAGGGCATTGTGGGTATAAAGGCGGTGGTTATTTCTGGAGTTTGATTCCAGCTGTCGGCGAGGCGGGGGGGGAGGTGGAGCGAGGGAGGAGGGGGAGGTGGTCTTCAGGTGCAGAGAGAGGCTGTGGGAGAAATGACTATCAATATCACATGTACAAATCATAGTGTCAAAAATCCCCCAGAAGTCACCGGGTTAGGGAAACAGGAAGTGCCGAAAGAAATGTAAAGAAAAGTCACGTTTTGTTGAAAAATCTTAAGAAAAACAACAACAAAAACATGAAAAGATAATATGTGGAACAAATTGAAATAAAGACATCATAAAGTAGCATGATGGTGTGTGTGTGTGTGTGTGTGTGTGTGTGTGTGTGTGTGTGTGTGTGTGTGTGTGTGTGTGTGTGTGTGTGTGTGTGTCTTCAGCAGCATTGAGTGTGTGGCACAGAGAACCATAAGATACAGTAAGTGCTAAAGGACTGCAGAGGGCGCTGTTTGATAAGAAGAGGAGGAACGACACGATCAGCAGACATGAATTAGATACGAGACCCAGAGGTTAGAATCCAATCAACAAATAAGTGTCATTTTAATGCACAGAATTATCTGGTGTTATTCTCCCTACTGTACACGCTGTTATGTCTCATAACATGTGTACAGTCGAGCTGAAGTGTGTGTGTGTGTTCGGTGTGTGTGTGTTCGGGGTGTGTGTGTGTGTGTGTGTGTGTTCGGTGTGTGTGTGAGTGACTATATAGCGGGATCAGTTCATTCTGTAAAGCATACATTCATATTTTACAGATTTTTCCATAACGTGTGTGTGTGTGTGTGTGTGTGTGTGTGTGTGTGTGTGTGTGTGTGTGTGTGTGTGTGTTCAGCCTTAACATACAGAGTTCACCGAGTTATGTCGAGTACAAAGGTAAACAATATTTGTTGTTTATATCGTCAACAAATCCCATGAAAAGCTCAAAACCAACGATGTGTTTCACCTTCTTTAAATCCTCTCTGACTTCCTGTCTGTGACTTCCTGTCTCCCTACTGTGTGTGTGTGTGTGTGTGTGTGTGTGTGTGTGTGTGTGTGTGTGTGTGTGTGTGTGTGTGTGTGTGTGTGTGTGTGTGTACACCTGTGTTTGGGTTCATGGTGATTGGACGTGACTGTAGAGTAAGGGTTCGTCTCCTGCAGGAAAACACACACAGAGAAAGTGCACAACACAACACAACACACACCGACACACAACACACACCGACACACACAGATAACTTGATGAACAAACAGGATTTGTAAACTGTTGAACGTGCAGGCCGGTCGTATTGAGACGTTGCTCTGGAACATGGATCTTTAAATCATGTTGTGACTTACTGACATAAATAAAGTCTAAAGTCGATAGATCTATAAATTGTCTAATTTACTATTTCTCAATGCAGTCCTGAAATCTTCTAATCCTTGTTTAACGATGTAAAGGACTTCAAGTAAAATGCTGTATAAATCAACATTACAATTTGTTATTATTATTATTCACAGATGTGTTGTTATTTGTTTTTGAATAAATCTGACTTTTTCTAGTTTGTCTCCGTGTGGTTTGTTCCGTCTCAAGCTGTGGTGTCGTGGGCGTTGGACGCGGGGGTACGCGGCACCCCCACTTATTTGAAGCATGATCTTTTTTTTAATAGTCTAATAAATATAAAATCATTGCAAACTGTGTGTATTTGTTGTAATAATGACAAAAACATAACACATTTCACAGTAATTATAATGCAAAATAAAAACGATTTCCTTAAAGAATGATGCTTCGTCATCACGCTCGTGACCCCGCGGCGAGCTGGGGGCGTGTCAGTGATACACCCCCGGCCAGCTCGCCGCCCAACCACAAAGCTCTATAAGGCAGGCAAACATTTCTTACTTGACTTCTTTTCTAAAAAGAATATAATTCACAAGAAGAGAGAGCAGCACCGAAGCTACGAGTGAAGCTGCTGTACTTCACCAGAAGAGCCGGTTGTTTGGGACGACCTCATTCAAATAGCGTCCCCCCAGTACAAACATCCCCACTACACCACTGGTCTCAAGGATACACTTCTTCCTTCATGGTGTGTGTAAACACAAACAAATGATTACCAAAGGATGGTAACGTACATTTAATGTTAATTACATTTAAAATTGCATTTCTCCTTCACATTATTTTTGTAATAGTTAATTGAGCAAATGTGGGATTTATATTTTAAAAACAGGTGATCCACGTGGAGAGCAACAGCTGCCCTTTATCACATCTAATACAACAACATCAAACAGATCATAAACAGAGGTGGAGGGGGGGTACTCACACTCAGACGTCTGGTTCTGGGTGGGGGGGTTTAAGGGAAGGGGCTCCATGGGGATCTTCACTGGGGGGGCGGGGCTTATGGGCTGATGGAAGAAACAGGAAGTGTTCGACATGCAGGACAAACAGGATTTTAGAGGATAAGACTCCATTCATTCTAGATTTCTGTTATCTATGAAATGTCTCCGTACCATAGACATGCACTGATACCTGTTAAAGAGGCCCTGTGCTGTTATTTGTGGGTGTTCCCTTTCCTATAGTGTGTTTTTTTGTGCATGTAAATGGTCTTCAAACGCTAAAATTGTTGTGTTTTCCTTCCAGCACACGTGATAGGCTAAAGGGCGGGACATCTTTAAGCGGTTTACCAATCACAACAGAGAGCTAACCAATCAGAGCAGACTGGGCTCTGGTTTCAGACAGAGGGTGAACATTAGGGGCACTAGTTCTCCTGTTAGTTTGATACAAACGACAGTGAAAAGCTGTAAATATGGAGATTTGCGTTTACATTTCTCTTCTTTGAGTGAACAGACCACAGCATATATTTGATTTTGGGGGTTTTCGGGGGGTTTGTGGACAGAAATATAGAACAGCACAAGCCTTATCCTGCACACAACGGGCACAGAGAAGCTAACAGAGTTAAAACACAGACACATTGAGAGGAACGAGGACAGACAGTAAGAGTAGTGAGAGTTTACAGAGCCTTCAGCAACACTGTGGGACAAAGAGGAGAAACACGAGTATTAGTGAGAGAAACAGAGCAGGAGCACACACACACACACACACACACACACACACACACACACACACACACACACACACACACACACACACACACACACACACACACACACACACACACACACACACACACACACACACACACACGCACACACACACACACACACACACACACACACACACACACACACACACACACACACACACACACACACACACACAGTAATACACTGAGAAAACATATCCACACACACACACACACACACACACACACACACACACACACACACACACACACAGTAATACACTGAGAAAACATATACACACACGCACACACACACACACACACACACACACACACACACACACACACACACACAGTAATACACTGAGAAAACATATACACACACACACACACACTGAGATACACAGTAATACACTGAGAAAACATATCCACACACACACACACACACACACACACACACACACACACACACACACACACACACACACTGAGATCCACAGTAATACACTGAGAGAACACATCCACACACACATTTAAATACACAGTAAATAATGAGAAAACACATCACACACACTTAAATACTGAGAGAACACACACACACACACACACACACACACACACACACACACACACACACACACACACACACACACACACACATAAATACTGTACACACACACGCTTTCAATCCCAGTAAATACTGATAACCCCAGATTGAGAGCTTCCAGCATCAGAGTGTGTGGCAGGAAGTCTCTGTGTATCTGTGTGTGTGTGTGAGTGAGTGTGTGTGTGTGTGTGTGTGTGTGTGTGTGTGTGTGTGTGTGTGTGTGTGTGTGTGTGTGTGTGTGTGTGTGTGAGTGAGTGTGTGTGTGTTTTCAGTAATATTTCCTCCCCACCTCCTCGTCGCTGTCGGGCTGCTCCGCCACCGGCTTCTTCTTCTTCTTCTTCTTCTTGTCCTTCTTCTTGTCTTTGTCGGGCAGGATGTCGTCCATCCAGGCGAGGTCGTGCTGAGAGAACATGAGATCCAGAAGCTTCCGCACCACCATCAGACCCAGGATCTGTTCGGGGCATTTAGGGGAGACTCTGGTACCAAGATGGGTATACTGATGACTGACATCATGAGGTCACCATTACTCACGCATTAGTTCAACACAATCTACTGTTGTTGAACAAATAACTACTTTATTTACACGATAGATTTATCTGATGGTTGCCGTCTCCATGAATCCATTTCAGTTGTAAAAATAGGGAGAAATGATCCCAAAGTTTCACCTAAACATTGTTTATTCAGCCCAAACCTCAACTTTATTAACACTGGTCAAAGAAAAGGAAAATATTCACATTTATGAAGCTGGAAAAAGGAAAGATATGTTTAATAAAAAATGACTTTAACCATCGAAATAGATGCCAAAATATTTGTTCGATCGATTAATTGACTCACTGTTTTGATTTCAGTCGCATATAAACAAATAAACAAATAAACAAATGAACAAATGAACAAATAAGCTGTTGCCTAGTTTATAAAAAAATCTTTAAATTATTTTAATGTTTTTGGGCAGAAATCTTTATATTTAAGTAAAAAAAAACGTTATTTTACTTGTAAAGTAAAATGAAGCTGTCAGATAATAGGAGTGGAGTAGAAGCATTAAAATAAATACACAAATAAAGTAGAAGTATCTTAAATGTGTACTTAAATACAAGCTAATAAGTCAATATACTAAGTGCACGTTTTGGTTCTTCAGCTGGTTTTTATTTATTTTTTTAAACGCTGAATTCCTGCAGCGTCTCCATCCAGCATTCCCTCTAAGCGTAACAAATGTAAGACATATTGTATCTGAATGAACGGCCTCACCATGATGGGGAAGATGATGGCGAGGAAGGTGGACTTGAGGATCCAGAGCACGGCGAGGCAGATGATCTGAACCAGAGTGAAGAGGTGAACTCGCCTCAGAGGGACGTGGCGCAGGAAGGAGAAGTCCGGCTGGTGTTTGGGGGGCATCATGTAGAGCTTGATCCGCTCCCAGAACTACGAGCATATCACATATTCATTATACAGCTTGATCCGCTCCCAGAACTACGAGCATATCACATATTCATTATACAGCTTGATCCGTTCCCATGACTACGAGCATCACATATTCATTACAGCTTGATCCGCTCCCAGAACTACGAGCATATCACATATTCATTATACAGCTTGATCCGTTCCCATGACTACGAGCATATCACATATTCATTATACAGCTTGATCCGTTCCCATGACTACGAGCATATCACATATTCATTATACGGCTTGATCCGCTCCCAGAACTACGAGCATCACATATTCATTATACAGCTTGATCCGCTCCCATGACTACGAGCATCACATATTCATTACACGGCTTGATCCGTTCCCATGACTACGAGCATATCACATATTCATTACAGCTTGATCCGCTCCCATGACTACGAGCATCACATATTCATTACACGGCTTGATCCGTTCCCACGACTACGAGTATCACATATTCATTACAGCTTGATCCGCTCCCAGAACTACGACCATCACATATTCATTACACGGCTTGATCCGCTCCCATGACTACGAGCATCACATATTCATTACACGGCTTGATCCGCTCCCAGAACTACGACCATCACATATTCATTACACGGCTTGATCCGCTCCCATGACTACGAGCATCACATATTCATTATACGTCTTGATCCGTTCCCATGACTACGAGCATATCACATATTCATTACACGGCTTGATCCGTTCCCATGACAACGAGCATCACATATTCATTACACGGCTTGATCCGTTCCCATGACTACGAGCATATCACATATTCATTATACAGCTTGATCCGTTCCCATGACAACGAGCATCACATATTCATTACACGGCTTGATCCGTTCCCATGACTACGAGCATATCACATATTCATTATACGGCTTGATCCGCTCCCAGAACTACGAGCATCACATATTCATTACACGGCTTGATCCGCTCCCATGACTACGAGCATCACATATTGGTGTCATCATTATTCCACTCGGGATAGATAACGTTTCTTGAATTTGAACTAAACTAAATATTGGGACGTTTCTGATCTGAAGCCGTTTGAAGATGTCCGCTTCAAATAAAGGGAATTGTTCAATTGGAACATATCAAAGTGCGAGTCTATGCTGTCCGGCGTTTGAAGGGAATGTGTGTGTTATTAGATAGTGGCTGATAAATGTTCTGTAGGGAGCACCATTGAATTCACCTTTACTATAATCAATGCCTTTTTCCTCAACTAATCCAATCATCCAGCATTCCTAGATATGTGTGTGTGTGTGTGTGTGTGTGTGTGTGTGTCTCTGTGTGTGTGTGCATGTGTCTCTCTCTGTGTGTGTGTGTGTGTGTGTGTGTGTGTGTGTGTGTGTGTGTGTGTGTGTGTGTGTGTGTGTGTGGTTGTCTCTCTCTATGTGTGTGTGTGTGTGTGTGTGTGTGTGTGTGTGTGTGTTTGTCTCTCTCTATGTGCGTGTGTGTGTTTGTCTCTCTATGTGTGTGTGTTTGTCTCTCTCTATGTGTGTGTGTGTGTGTGTGTGTGAGTGTCTCTCTCTCTCTGTGTGTGTGTCTCTCTCTCTGTGTGTGTGAGTGTCTCTCTCTCTCTCTCTGTGTGTGTGTGTGTGATATTTTGGTTTCCGTGATATTTCACAATTACACTGCAAAAATTTCAAATCTTGCCAAATATATTTGTCTCATTTCTAGCAGAACATGTCGTTAAACGTGAAACAAGAGCTAACAACTCTTGTTTTTAGGCATCTTGAGCATCTTATAGAGGAACATCTCCACTAACTAACATCAGGAAACGTCTGAGCATTTCTGGCTTTTTTTGTTACAAATTCGCTGATTCTGGTCAAATATAGTTCAAAATAAGTTTCCCCAGATAAATACAAGATGTGATTTCTAATTATTCCATCTTTACTTCAAGAAATCTCACCAAGCCATTTTGTACTTGTTCCATTGGCACATTTCTTCACTTATTAAAAGCGAAAACACCTGGTTTTTTATTATATATTTACTTGTTTTTGGAGCAGCATTTTTTCCAGATTGTTGTTATTATTTTGAAAGCTGAACTTAGATTTTGAGGGCTTGATAATTCTGTAAGTTTCACACATGAAGCACATTAGCAACACATGGATATACTGTATGAACATTCATCTCAATGTACCTGGATGCCGCTCAGCGAGGCCACCCCCATGTAGAGGAACACTCCATACAGCACGGGCATGGGGATGTACTGGAGCACAGAGAGAAGCAGAGATACAGTATGTACATTATATATAACATGATCTAAAGCTCCTCGTTGATGCTCCACTCACTAACCTGCAGCACAGGAGCGAGGAAGATGGAGACTCCGGTCAGGACGAAGACCAGGATCCCAGTCAGCCTCTGCTCTCTGCAGACACACAAACACCGGGTAAATACTGGCAGTGGGAGGATTCACATGTAGGGATGGGTACCGAGTTTCGGTACTTAACTAATTATTAAAGACCGCGGTACCGTTAAGCTCCGACGTTAACGGTCTTTTTATCAGTACTGGAGACATGTAAAATATGTCATTATGTATTATTGGTACATAAACATTATATTACAGTTTTAGTTTCGCCAACTCCGTTTCTAATACGCAAAAAGACTGCAAAATGCTTCTATGATTATTTTTTAGTATTTTCAATCTCTCTCCCCCGCCTACTTGGGAGGGGGCGGGGCAGTGTTGCAGCTGCTACATGCAGCAACACACACACACACACACACACACACACACACACACGGAGATGGCGGAGAGAACTCGCTCCGAGGTGGTTACACTTTACCCGTCTCGCTCGTTACCTAAAGTGCAATAAGAGTTCAGCATGTGAGGGCGGCAACACGAGCAATTTGTCTAAACATTTATCAAAAGTGCTCCACATCCAGACGGAGGAATGCACCGGGTTCCACTGTCTTTCTAGCAGCTCTGTAGCCCCATCCACGAGTAACGTTTCCACGTCAGGTGTTCTGTATGCTAGCAGCAACACACGGAGTTAACACCATGATACAAACATGGGTTAATGATTAGAGGAAACTGAGTTATTTATTTTGTTAAAGTTTCAGCTATTCTGATTACAGTTCTGTCATCAGATTATTTAATACCATTTGTTAAAACATTGTTTCTTTTGATGTGAAATATTATTTATTTAATTTAAATAAAAAGCAATGTTAGTTTTGTTCACAATTTAGTTAGTTTACCTTATTTATTCTCTCCAAAAGAACCGATAAGAGTACCGTTAAAAGAACGGACCGATAAGCGGTATCGATAAAAGTAGTAGTACCGTTAAAACCTTAACGATACCCATCCCTATTCACATGTATATTCAATAGCAGCATGCTCTGCTGCGGTATGCATGCACACGGGTGGACGAACTCAGTCGCTTGTTTAGTCCTTTTAGACTTGTAGTCACTTGTTTAGTCCTTTTAGACTTTTAGTCGCTTGTTTAGTCCTTTTAGACTTGTAGTCGCTTGTTTAGTCCTTTTAGACTTGTAGTCGCTTGTTTAGTCCTTTTAGACTTGTAGTCGCTTGTTCAGTCCTTTTAGACTTGTAGTCACTTGTTTAGTCCTTTTAGACTTGTAGTCGCTTGTTTAGTCCTTTTAGACTTGTAGTCACTTGTTTAGTCCTTTTAGACTTGTAGTCGCTTGTTTAGTCCTTTTAGACTTGTAGTCGCTTGTTTAGTCCTTTTAGACTTGTAGTCGCTTGTTTAGTCCTTTTAGACTTGTAGTCACTTGTTTAGTCCTTTTAGACTTGTAGTCACTTGTTTAGTCCTTTTAGACTTGTAGTCGCTTGTTTAGTCCTTTTAGACTTGTAGTCGCTTGTTTAGTCCTTTTAGACTTGTAGTCACTTGTTTGGTCCTTTTAGACTTGTAGTCGCTTGTTTAGTCCTTTTAGACTTGTAGTCACTTGTTTGGTCCTTTTAGACTTGTAGTCACTTGTTTAGTCCTTTTAGACTTGTAGTCGCTTGTTTGGTCTCTTTTAGACTTGTAGTCACTTGTTTAGTCCTTTTAGACTTGTAGTCGCTTGTTTGGTCCTTTTAGACTTGTAGTCGCTTGTTTAGTCCTTTTAGACTTGTAGTCGCTTGTTTGGTCCTTTTAGACTTGTAGTCGCTTGTTTAGTCCTTTTAGACTTGTAGTCGCTTGTTTAGTCCTTTTAGACTTGTAGTCGCTTGTTTAGCCCTTTTAGACTTGTAGTCGCTTGTTTAGTCCTTTTAGACTTGTAGTCGCTTGTTTAGTCCTTTTAGACTTGTAGTCGCTTGTTTAGCCCTTTTAGACTTGTAGTCGCTTGTTTAGTCCTTTTAGACTTGTAGTCGCTTGTTTAGTCCTTTTAGACTTGTAGTCCTTTAGACTTGTAGTCGCTTTGTTTAGTCCCTTTTAGACTTGTAGTCGCTTGTTTAGCCCTTTTAGACTTGTAGTCGCTTGTTTAGTCCTTTTAGACTTGTAGTCGCTTGTTTAGTCCTTTTAGACTTGTAGTCGCTTGTTTAGTCTCTTTTAGACTTGTAGTCGCTTGTTTAGTCCTTTTAGACTTGTAGTCGCTTGTTTAGTCCTTTTAGACTTGTAGTCGCTTGTTTAGTCCTTTTAGACTTGTAGTCGCTTGTTTAGTCCTTTTAGACTTGTAGTCGCTTGTTTAGTCCTTTTAGACTTGTAGTCGCTTGTTTAGTCCTTTTAGACTTGTAGTCGCTTGTTTAGTCCTTTTAGACTTGTAGTCGCTTGTTTAGTCCTTTTAGACTTGTAGTCGCTTGTTTAGTCCTTTTAGACTTGTAGTCGCTTGTTTAGGTCCTTTTAGACTTGTAGTCGCTTGTTTAGTCCTTTTAGACTTGTAGTCGCTTGTTTAGTCCTTTTAGACTTGTAGTCGCTTGTTTAGTCCTTTTAGACTTGTAGTCGCTTGTTTAGTCCTTTTAGACTTGTAGTCGCTTGTTTAGTCCTTTTAGACTTGTAGTCGCTTGTTTAGTCTCTTTTAGACTTGTAGTCACTTGTTTAGTCCTTTTAGACTTGTAGTCGCTTGTTTAGTCCTTTTAGACTTGTAGTCGCTTGTTTAGTCCTTTTAGACTTGTAGTCACTTGTTTAGTCCTTTTAGACCTTGTAGTCACTTGTTTAGTCCTTTTAGACTTGTAGTCGCTTGTTTAGTCCTTTTAGACTTGTAGTCGCTTGTTAGTCCTTTTAGACTTGTAGTCACTTGTTTAGTCCTTTTAGACTTGTAGTCGCTTGTTTAGTCCTTTTAGACTTGTAGTCACTTGTTTAGTCCTTTTAGACTTGTAGTCGCTTGTTTAGTCCTTTTAGACTTGTAGTCGCTTGTTTGGTCTCTTTTAGACTTGTAGTCGCTTGTTTGGTCCTTTTAGACTTGTAGTCGCTTGTTTAGTCCTTTTAGACTTGTAGTCGCTTGTTTGGTCCTTTTAGACTTGTAGTCACTTGTTTAGTCCTTTTAGACTTGTAGTCGCTTGTTTAGTCCTTTTAGACTTGTAGTCGCTTGTTTAGTCCTTTTAGACTTGTAGTCACTTGTTTAGTCCTTTTAGACTTGTAGTCGCTTGTTTAGTCCTTTTAGACTTGTAGTCACTTGTTTAGTCCTTTTAGACTTGTAGTCGCTTGTTTAGGTCCTTTTAGACTTGTAGTCACTTGTTTAGTCCTTTTAGACTTGTAGTCGCTTGTTTAGTCCTTTTAGACTTGTAGTCACTTGTTTAGTCTCTTTTAGACTTGTAGTCGCTTGTTTAGTCCTTTTAGACTTGTAGTCACTTGTTTAGTCCTTTTAGACTTGTAGTCGCTTGTTTAGTCCTTTTAGACTTGTAGTCACTTGTTTAGTCCTTTTAGACTTGTAGTCACTTGTTTAGTCCTTTTAGACTTGTAGTCACTTGTTTAGTCCTTTTAGACTTGTAGTCGCTTGTTTAGTCCTTTTAGACTTGTAGTCACTTGTTTAGTCTCTTTTAGAGTTGTAGTCGCTTGTTTAGTCCTTTTAGACTTGTAGTCACTTGTTTAGTCCTTTTAGACTTGTAGTCGCTTGTTTAGTCCTTTTAGACTTGTAGTCACTTGTTTAGTCCTTTTAGACTTGTAGTCGCTTGTTTAGTCCTTTTAGACTTGTAGTCACTTGTTTAGTCTCTTTTAGACTTGTAGTCGCTTGTTTAGTCCTTTTAGACTTGTAGTCGCTTGTTTAGTCCTTTTAGACTTGTAGTCACTTGTTTAGTCCTTTTAGACTTGTAGTCGCTTGTTTAGTCCTTTTAGACTTGTAGTCACTTGTTTAGTCCTTTTAGACTTGTAGTCGCTTGTTTAGTCCTTTTAGACTTGTAGTCGCTTGTTTGGTCCTTTTAGACTTGTAGTCGCTTGTTTGGTCCTTTTAGACTTGTAGTCGCTTGTTTAGTCCTTGTAGTCACTTGTTTGGTCTCAAAAGGTGACACAGACATCATACAGTACTCTACAAATGAATGCAATAACAAAAGGAAACATTTAATTAATAATTGAATAATCTGTAGTATCATTGTCTGATATCAATAAGCAACAAAGCTTGTGTGGTCCGTTCCTAATCTGAACCTGAAGACATTTCCTATGAATGGAAGTGAAGTAGAAGCATCATGTGGCATGGAAATAAAATACTAAGAAAAAGTACAAGTATCTTAAATGTGTACTTAAATACAAGCTAAGAAGTGTACCTTTTGGTTCTTGAGACATGCATCTTATTTTCCATATGGATTAATTTGCAGACAGTTTTTGATATTAATTAATAAATGTTTTCTATTTAAAGAAAGGCCTAAAAACATTTGTGTTTAATCCGAAGCTCAATATAAATATTAACACATTTATTATTAACAAGATGGAAACCCTAACATTATTTCTAATTTACATTTATTAACATTATTGAAATGAAAAGCTAATAATATATACATTTCTGAGGTTGGAAAATAAAATGTTTTTATATGAAGAATGACGTAAACAAACAAACTTAAACTATCAGATAGAAGGAGGTAAAGCAGAAGCATTAAATGGCATTAAAGGAAATACTAAGATAAAGTATAAGTATCTTAAATGTGTACTTAAATACAAGCTAATAAGCCAATATACTAAGTGTTGGTTCTTGAGACACGCAGCTGGTTTGGTTTCTGTCCCTTTGAGACGTTCAGATGCTTTTCTTTATGTTGTGTGTGAAATGCATGTTGTGCGGTGTGTGGTCCGTTCCTAATCTGAAGACATTCTCTCTGAGCAAACTGTCTCTCAGACCCCCACCTGACCCCCAGGAACTGCGGCTGCTCTCCCGGCGCGCTGGACTCGCTCTCCATCTTCAGAGAGTCGATGTGAGCGATGGAGATGACGGTGGCCGCTACGTACCAGGGGAGACCCAGGAAGGAGCACACGGCCATCAGGACCCCCACCCAGAACAGGTCCAGGTGGTAGCCACAGCCTTTCTGCACGCAGAGGGGGAACACAGGGAGAAATGGTGCTGATTTTCTTTGCAAAAGTCTACATTAAAGGCTTTTATTGTATACCTTATATGGCAAGAGTACACACTCAAGTAGAAGTACAGATACCCGTGTTTAAAAATACTCTGGTAAAAGTAGTACTACTGACTAAAATTCTTAAGTAAAAGTAAAGAGACTTTGAAATGTCCTTCAGTAAAAAGTACCCATAACTAGCAGCTGTTTTAAAGAGTACCTGACCTCCCTTTATATTAATAGAACAATAATGTCATTGTTAGCTAATGAATGTTTCCATGCTGAACAACGGCAACATGACAACGTTTCCATTGGTCCCTCTTCTTTAGAGAAGACCAGGAAATGATGGATACACGGATCGTGTTCAAATCAATAGGCACGCAATGACTCTAAAGAATAATGATCACGCATCAAACACACATTCAGACTAAAGGAACCAGCTGTTTGGAGAATGAGAGAAGTAGAAAGTACAAGTATTTGGGTTCAACATGTAAGAAGTAGAAAGTACAGGTATTTGAGTTCAACATGTACGAAGTAGAAAGTACAGGTATTTGGGTTCAACATGTAAGAAGTAGAAAGTACAGGTATTTGAGTTCAACATGTAAGAAGTAGAAAGTACAAGTATTTGAGTTCAACATGTAAGAAGTAGAAAGTACAGGTATTTGAGTTCAACATGTAAGAAGTAGAAAGTACAGGTATTTGAGTTCAAAATGTAAGAAGTAGAAAGTACAGGTATTTGAGTTCAACATGTAAGAAGTAGAAAGTACAGGTATTTGAGTTCAACATGTAAGAAGTAGAAAGTACAGGTATTTGAGTTCAACATGTAAGAAGTAGAAAGTACAGGTATTTGAGTTCAACATGTGAGAAGTAGAAAGTACAGGTATTTGAGTTCAACATGTGAGAAGTAGAAAGTAAAGGTATTTGAGTTCAACATGTAAGAAGTAGAAAGTACAGGTATTTGGGTTCAACATGTAAGAAGTAGAAAGTACAGGTATTTGTGTTCAACATGTAAGAAGTCAAAGTAAAAAGTCGTGGAGTAAAGTACTGATACCAGAGAAATGTACTTAAGTACAGTAACAAAGTATTTGTACTCCACTACTTCCTACCTCTGGTTTGTTTACCTTGAGCTTGTTCTCCTTCCTGTTGACGATGACGGCGCTGATCTGCTGGTCCATGAAGATGAGGATGGTGACGAGCAGAGCGGGAACTGAACTGGCTACGTACCACCACCAGGGGTTCTTTCCAAAGGGCATCACCAACCAACCACGGTCTGGACGGGTGGGCTACACACACACACACACACACACACACACACACACACACCACACACACACACACACACACACACACACACAACACACACACACACACACACACACACACACACACACACACACACACACCACACACACACACACCACCACACACACACACACACACACACACACACACACAGTTATATTTTATACCTCTACATGTTGTCATGTTATGCTACATATACCTCTACCCCACCACACTTATTTAACACATATAGCCACCATTACTTGTATATGTTTGTGTTAGCTTTGTGTATGGAAGTGCTTTGATTTGATTTACTTAGTGCACACAGAGAAAGTCAAACAAGCATGCAGAAGAGCAGTGTTATGTTATAAGTCACATGTATTTTAGAGAGGGATCAAATACCTTGAACTCGGTGGGAACGATTAGTTTGGGAGTGTCTAAGCCCATCAACATGTCCAGACCCACGAAGGACATGATGGACATGAAGATGGAAAAATCACTGATCAGCTTCCTCAGCTAGAAACAAGATGGAGGACGAGTAGAAAAAGAAGGTGAAGACAGGAATGAGGAGAATTACAGAATCATAGCATACATCTCGTTTGAAGACAGGGGCGGACCATTATCCCGGTGGGCCGGTACCGAAGTGGGCCGGTTGGGCAATTCACTAGCATTTTTTACTTTTCCACGTACCAGTCTGTGTTTTCTAAATTGTGGTTTTCTATTTAGTTGTGTTTTAAGATGTTTAACATCAAGTATGAGAGTTTTTTCAGTCTCTGGCTATAAGTATGGTTTCGTTGTCTCGTGCTTTTACATAAGATCAGATAAGATGGTACTTTATTGATCCCAATTTGGGAAATAGTTTTTGTTGCAGCAGCATAAAAGACAATAAAACAAAACTACAAATAAACAAGAATAGAAAGAAAATAAAAGAAAATAGAAAATATACATGTAGATATTATATATACAAATATATATATACATAAATATATGACATGGAATATAAAATATAAAATATTGAACAGATGATATATGTGTAAAATGTACAACGTGGTTTTATTAGAGAAACTACGGAGCAGAGAGTTCTCTTCCAGCCGGAGATGATTTATTGTACATTAGTTTCTTTTTGTCCTATCGGTTTTGTCCAAATGTATTTATGCTGCTTCGGTCAACTCTCTCTTTTAAATGTGCTATATAAATAAAATTAGATTGGATTCAAAATCATTGGTTAGAAAAGCATAGAAACGACGTCTTTTGGGACAGAAACAGGTTTTGGGAAAAGGTTATAAAGAGGTGTTTTTGGGGGGAGGAGAGAGGCCCAATCCCAAACCACGCCCTACATCCTACCCCTACACACTACCCCTCCGTGACGGACACACACAGCGTAGAGACCGGTCTCCAGTCAGCACCGCTGCAGACTCGCTGTTTGAGGGCTTGATAGCCCCCTTCCCCTCCACACCGCTCCACACTCGTTGCTTTGGAACAGCGCTTAATGTGGCGGACCCTCCGCGCGAACGGAGGGATAGTGTGTAGGGCGTGGTTTGGGATTGGGCCAGAGTGTTTTTGTGAGGAAGAGAGGGTGTTTTTTGGGGGGAGGAAAGTGTGTTTTTGGGGCGGGGGGGGGGAGAGGACCTTTATCTCGGTGGGAACGTGCAGTTTGGGGGTGTCGAGCTCCATCAGGT